GAAAACTTGAACCCGACATGACAGTTTCTTCTTCTTCTTTTTCACTTAATGAAGGAAGCAGAGGCATAATAGCCAAAACATTGAGCTAAAGTATTGTGTCTTTAAAATAATGTTGATGTAGGTAAAAGAGAAAAAAATGAAGCAGCAAAACTACTTAACCTAAATCTACTCATGTAACTTTTGTAGAATATATGTAATCCTGTAAAATTCGCTGTCTCCAGAATTAGAATATTATAGCGGACGAATGGAAAAGATTTTAATCTAGAAAAGCAGGCCTTCTCAACAGTATGTGTATGTTCCATATGTATTCAGTACTGGCTCAGGGTTCTGCTGCAAGCTGTGGTTCTGCTGAAGTGTAATGGAAGTCCAGCTTGCTTTAACAGCTTCCTTCCTCTCATCTGCATTGTTGGCTCTGCTCTTTCTCGTCTTCTTCTTGGTAACAGTCCATAGATCCCCGTAAGGCAGCTGTCTTCTGTTCCTCCCTGTTCCCTGGACAACTTCTACTCACACACACTTTCCTTCTAGCTATACATTTATAGTGCTAATTTACAATGTTAGCAAAGAAAATATTTCAGTCCAGTTCAATATATTGCACCAGTTTGAAACAAATGTCATCTCAAGACATTTGTCTACTTTACTATTTAGACTATTTGTCTACTTTACGAGACAAATAGATCAGGGCCCATTGTCTCAGAGTGATTTTGGGGCTGGGGATGGGAGACTTCTGTCCTCTGGAGGTTTTTTATAGATGGATTTTGCTTTGAAAATTTGATCCTATAGCTGCTTTTTACTTTTAATAAATCTTTTAATAACCACAAATCCTAGCATCTGAGAGTTTTAGTTTGATAAGTGTCCTTCAGTTTATATCACAAATTTTCTGGTTCATGACTGAGTCATTATTAAAAAGCATGTTCTGAGATTTTAACTCTACTTCTATTTTTAAATGGTCAAAATCCTTAGAGTAGCTTTGTGTTAATGAATCCCACTGCTCCAGTAAACTTGTTTGGGATTAATGACCTTCTTGTATGATTGTAGAATATATGGGGCTGGTCAACCGCAAGGCCTTTCAGCATTAAAAAAAATGCTGAAAGCACACAAGGGTTAAATTTGACAGCAAGGGAGGGCCTTGGGTCAAACAGGGCCGTAGTGGCTGACTTGACAATTTTGTACATTTGGTTATATTTCCTTGAAAACTAATTAGATGCCATTCTTTACATTGTTTATGATTTACATAACATGTATCTATCTTGCCCTGCGACAGACTGGTGACCTGTCCAGGGTGACCCCGCCTCTCGCCCAGAACGTTAGCTGGAGATAGGCACCAGCAACTCTCCCAACCCCACTAAGGGACAAGGGTGTACAGAAAATGGATGGATGTATCTATCTTTAAAAGGGGTTAAAATATTAACAAAAACCAAACTGTTCGGTTTTATGTTTGTTTGAATTTGAAGAAGACTTCATTGGACATCTGCTACATCTGGAACTGAAAGAATTTTTCATGTCAGTCAGAGAAACTTCTCCTTTCCAACCTATACCTCACTCTGACAGGACAGCTTAGTCAGCAATGCTCTGCAGAATCAGCAGTCAATTTCTTGATTATTTTAACACAAAAAATAACTTAACTAATACAATTATGGTATCATCCTTAGGTGTTAGAATTTTGGTTTCCATTTAAGTTTCTGTTTTTGATCATGCTTAGATTTACCATTTTAGTTTATCGCCTGTTCATGTATTCTTATTTTCCCTTACATTCATGTTTCTTTCTGTTTATGGTTTATGTTGGTTTCAGGCCTTTCTCCCTTCAGTTCTCTCTGCTTTGTTGATCTTTCTCTGCTCCCTTAGTATTTAAGCTCCTCAGTTTGTCCCATTCCTCACAGGGTCCTTCAATCCTCACCTGTTCTCCAAGCCGGCCCATTGCCCTGTAAGTGTCTTGCCTTATTTCATGCATTCCATGACAATCGTAAAATCTTATCAAGCAGAGTTTGATCCTATAAACTTACCAAACATTGATCCATTATTACACGCATCATTTTACATGTCTCACAATAAACACAAACGCTCTTTAGAAATATTTGTTTTTATTGGCAAAGGAAGCCAGGAACTGATAATACAGTTCATATGCAGCAAATACATGATCATTGCTGACATACTGTCAATCCAGTGGGGACCTGTACACATACCTGCATCACAGTGCATCAACTTCAGGACCTGGAGGTATTAATAGTGTAGTATCAAGATGTTTACAAGAAGAACGTACATTGTCCCAAACCACAGCATGCAAGATTTCTATTATATGTAACAATTCAAATGTTCTCAGTGAAAATGACGCATCATGGCTTAGTTTCATAAAACATATTTTAGAAGAGCCACCTAGGGACTTTCTACGTTCAAACACATGACACTTTCTTGAATCTCACAAGAAACATTCAGAAAGCATTTGATTAGAAATTATGAAAGCTTTTTATTCAGATGATTTTTTTATTTGTTTGATTTTTCCCTTTTTAAATGAATGACAATTGGAATGATTCCTTGCAAGAAATTCCCTTCAGAGTTTGTTAGTGGATTTTTACAATTGCACGTAGAATCTTCTTCATTTGATCCAACAACAGTAGAAAGCCAATGATACATCAGCTGATGGAGATAATATGCTGCATCAGTCCTTAGAAATACATTTTCTGCTATGTAATATTTTCTCCCATGATCAATAATTTGGAGCGAAACATGATGTGTCTGTATGAAAAACTTTCATCTCGAGAGGAAAATGTAACTATCTAAAGCCAAAAACAATTTGACCAACAAAAACTAGATCAAATATGCATTAAATGGCATTCTGGGGCAAACACACAACCAAATAAAAAATCATATGCAAATTAACACTTACTCTAGATTTTTTTTTAAATGGATGTGAAGTTTATAAAATGACATGTCTGACTGCATGGAAGTGTTTGTTTGATTGGATTCAGACTGGCTCAGGCTTCAACAGTCCAACACTTCCTGCCCTGCTTCCTGCTTTCCTGCCTGGAAGTGGAGGGGGGCAGCAGCACCAGATGTTAGCAGGAAAGCATTTCTTAGATCATTAAGGCAAATTTCCAGCACATTCATTTTTGACTGACAAAGAAAAGATGTTGGAAACTGTTAGAATGTTCTGCAGTGAGCACTGGAACCAGAAGCGGTTAGTTAGAAAGCTTGGAATCACAACTTTTCATGTGAACATGTTCATTTCTTACTACTTGTAAAATCATGAGTGCAGTCTCACTGACTAACCTCAAGTCATCCTAAAAACATCTATACCTAGACTGGATTTTTTTTTTTTTTTACATTACAAGTTACAATTTTAAAATAAAGATAAGGTTTTGCAGCAGGCAATGCTCTTTAAGATTAGTCACAACATTTAAATGAAAGGACAGTATAACTCCACAGAAGACAAGTGAACAGCAATCAGTGCAATTAACGTCAAAATAATCCCTTTCAGTTTTCTCCTTAATGTTAGTTATTATTTCACAAGTGTAAATCAACCCACTTATGTTCTGAATGCCCAATGATTACAAACAGGAAGTTACCTTTCAAAAAAAAATCAATAGATTTAAGGAGACAGTTAATCAGGAATATGCTCATTAAACCTGGTTGTAAATTCTGGATTAAAATTTAATAAATTTCACCTTTAAAGGTATAATACTCAGGACAGCAAAAAAAGATCAGTAATGTTACATCCAAGAATTTAATGAATCCCTTATTGATCCGTTTTTTAGCAAAACAAGAATGCTAACTGGAGTCTTTTACTTTGACTTCTCAGTCAGTTTTTATGACAATGTCAGTTTAAAGAGAATTTAGTGTCCCATAAAGTTGTACATTTTCAATTTGATGAAATTTGGGCTCAAACTTGTGTAACATTGTGTGGTTGTATGTAAAAACATATAAAAGTTATCTACATGGATTCATTAAAGAGTCTATAATTAAGTGTGTGAGTTATTTTTGACCTGTGTGTTTAAAGTTGTATATCTTTGGTTCAAATGTTATCAATAGTAATACATCAGAAAAACAGCAACAAATAGGCTTAGTAAAAGGGGATGGGAGGCGGCTCAGTGGAAGTGCCTCTTTACCCACAATCCCTCATTCAGAAGGTCACTTGTTTTAGACCTACGGCCGGTCAGTCCTCAGAGCGACTGGTAGCCAGCTGTCCTCTTTCTGCGGCCCAGCAGGTACACTATCAGCACAATGACAATGAGCACCAGCAGAGTCACTCCCACTGCGATGGCAATGCGGTAGTCAGGCTGGTCAGCTGGGCAGGGGTCAGCTGGGCGAGACACAAAAGGCACAAAAACTCAGTGATTTCATATGAGTGCTTTAACACCAACATCAGAAACCTAACTTAACATCTGATTGTCCCATTTAAACTATGGTTCAATGTGTGGGTGAATATTAACATGGAAGATCCTTCTGAACTTAACATGCCAGTCAGAAGATTTTTTTGGCAATCCAGTTGCTAATAAAAACAAGCTCTGTGAAGAGGCTATGAGCAGTCACTATCTTACCAAGATCAGACAACACTCAGCCAACCTGTTCACCTTCTCACCTGTGGTGGCATTACGCCAAGAAACACTGAAGGAAGCGACACAAAAACCTCTGAAGAAGATCCTGAACCTAAGTTCAACTCATGTAAACAAGTGGAAGGCTTAGAGACTGGTTGACTTGTTAAACCCGCTTTTCCTGAACTGCAGCATTTTGTCCAAAGTGTTGCAGATCATGAGACCGTCAGAGCAGGCGGCACCTCCATGAAGCATTGCAAGAAGCAAAGCCCACTCAGTTCTGGCCTGGGTTCACTTTCACATATTTTGAAATATTATTTAACATGATGAAGGGCTTCAAGACATCAGCAGGTAAATTACTGTTTAGAATTGGTATTATTCATTCAAATGGAAGGGAGTGAATCACAATGTAAATGTATAAATCACAAAGAAGCTGTCTTTTTGTGTTTGTGTTTTCACTTACGACGGCCAAATTCATTCTTAGTGACATTGAAAGCTTGCAGTCTGTTGTTAGAGACTTCGAGGCTCAGTCCGTTTCCCAGGAAGATAGATTCATCCTTGCAGGAGTAGGAGTGTCCGATCTTTGCAGCAAACAGATGCACCGAGTCATTCTTTTCACTGTACTTCTGAGTTCCTGAAACATCATGACAAGGAAATTCTCAGGTGCTGATCGGAGATAATATAATGATGAGATGACATTTAAAGCAAACTTGTTGGACTACACTGGACTGAAAAAAGGTTGATAGTTACTGGCATCACATGCTTTTCAGACACATAACAGAGAAAGTCTAAATTAAGCCACAAACACAAACCAGGAAGAAAGCTGACATTTTTTTTATCCTGTTGAGAATGCAGTGAACAAATGCAAAAAGTCCAAAGTCTAATCAGCATGACGGAGTGTCTTCAACTCACCTGTCTTTGTCAAGGGGTAGGACAGATTGAAAGACACAGCATTTAGATAGGCGGTGTTATTAGCAACACTCTGAGGAAACAAAAGAGAATAACAACTCGTTATTATTGCTTTTGTACACATGAAATTCAGAGGCTGATAAAATACTGGAGATGCTAATTAAAAATAAACAAGCTGTTTTTGAAATTAAACTGAAATCCAGGGAATCTACGGTCCAGGATTTCAAATTTTAGTTTATTCTTATTTCTTTACATATTTTTAAAAAATGTATACAGAAGTTTATATTTGGTCTCTCATTCAGAGATAAAAAGTAAAAAATTAGAAGCTGGGATTTTAAGCCCCTCTGCTGGAACAGAACAGAACTTCCCTTTCCACAGCTCTGCAGAGTGACCTGCCCATTGTCCAGGTAACCGTGGTTCACATTTTACCCACATAGCGAGGTGTTGTGAAAGGTTTGTCATCACAACATTCTGTCTGTGTGTTTAGACTGGAGGTCAGAGAGCATTACAACCAGAGCAGCCATTTTTGCCTTGGGTACAGCAAAATAAAATGTGAGTAGACCTACAAAGGCAACACAATCCTTCAAAACTAACAGCTTATTTTTAACGTTTTAGCTATAGGAAATTTGCTTAGATATTTAAGTAAAAGAATAATAGTTATATTTTTGTTATAAGGTTTTAAAATCAAGAAAATCGCAAAATTCTTACATAAATAAATAATTTTTCTTTAACTGATTGTTCAAATTTAATAGAAAATGACATAAAATGACTAAGACCTAACAGGCCCACACCCCCAGTTTAGGCCAACATTCTGTTATCCTCCCATCGGCTGCTACACCAAACGATGACCAGTCCTTCCCCAGGAGTTATCTTAAAACAATTCTCTGTTTTCCTAAAAAAAAAAAAAAGAATGAAAAAAATGTATCTAATCTGTGTTGACAGATTAGGTAGCCACAGCTGTGGCTACTGGTCAGTAGCTTGCCACTATCAGTGTGTGAATGTGTGTGTGAATGACTGAATGTAGTGTGAAACGCTCTGGGGGTTCTCTGGACCCCCAGAGACCCTGGATTTCAGGGTTCTCAAAGAACTATACAAATAAAAGCCATTTACCATTTTCTCATATTAATAATCAGTTGTCCCTAAAGAGGTTTCTCATCAAATAGTCTTATGTCTGTGGAATAATGAGCTTCAGGAACACATTTAACACTAAATCAGCTCAACTAAAGTATAAAATGCACCTGTAGCTCTCTAAACAAGGTTAGTTAATGATAAGGTCAACTGCTCCACACACAGTTCCTGTTTACAGATGTCAAGTTGAGTTCCTCCTCAGCTGACCTGTTACTTCTGGAATCTTTTCTTTCATGAGTTCACGATTCATTTGCTTGACTGAATTCTACTTTACTGAATTGATATCTATTTGACCCCAATGTGTTTCAACCAAACTCCAGAACTGAAGCAGTCAGGAACCTGTTTTTCTTCTCAAGCACAGTGGCTTCACCCAGTAGTATCATCCCTCGTGTTGTTTCTTGTTTGATTGGAACCCAACCAAGCTTCTCACAACAGAGAATGGAGGAATGAAGAAAACCTGCTTACAGTTAGGTCATAGAATCCTTTATCCGGGAAACACAAATAGCACAAAAAATTTGCCTTTTTTCATCATAGTGGAAAGAAATCAGTGTAACCTTTTAAAGCAATTAATTTCTCAATGACATATAAGCAAAGAGCTACCAACTTTTATTCAGACTGGATTATTTAAACCACTGAGTGAATCCCAGAGATCAGTGAGGATAAAGCAGTTTGCTGTAGCTTTGCCTGCGTGTGTTTTTAGAAGCAGTTTGCCAAATGTACTTCCCTTTTTTTAAAGCATCTTTCTCTAATTCGAGTTTCTATGAAATAATCTGTTACAAGTTGGCTTGTCATCATCATTTATTTACATAGATGAACTTCTGTAGTCAAGCTACAATATACACCACCGTAGTGGTGAAGGTTGATTCTCTCAGAAACACCGACTGGTCCACCAACTTTCTGAAAACCAAACCTGATCTTTACAGTACACTCACTACTCCTACTATCTCCATATCTAGGGGTCACAAAAACATTTCCATTTTACGCTAACAGTACTAATATGATTCTAAAGCTGGAAGTGGAGTCTAAAGAGCAAAAAACAAGAGATGTCTTAACAGAGTCTAATGACTTAATGAGACATAAAAATGAAAGAGTAAATATTAAGTACCTTATTGAAGAGGAAGGTGATGAAGCCCTGTTGAAAGGTAAGGGTCAGGTTGGCTTTTGTTTCCTTGCATTCACCACTTGCCGTAGTTTGGTTTGGTTTGATAATGAAGGTTCCATTGCCCTGAAAAAGATGAAAATGATTTTAAAAAATCTTTTTTTTGATTTTGAAGACTTAAATTAATTAAAAAGATTTTAAGCAGTCTTTGTTAGTAATGGTTGATGAAACAAACCTTCTGTGAGGAAAGTTTGATCTTTAGCGCCATCTGAGCCATCAGACAAACCACTCCTTTGTCTTTGGTCAAATTGTAGTTTCCTTCAGTCAGATTGGTAGTTGGAGTAGGTTGAGGTGCTGCTGTAGGAGTGGTTTTAGGAGTCGTGGGTTTAGTCGTGGGTTTAGTCGTGGGTTTAGTCGTGGGTTTAGTCGTGGGTTTAGGAGTCGTGGTATTAGTTACAGATTTAGGAGTACTTATATCTTGAAATGACGCCGCAGAACTCATAGTAGAAGATGGTTTGGATTCATTTGTGTCTTTGGCCAGTGACAGTGCTAAAAAGATAGAAGAAAATAATTTTCAGTTCACCTGACATTTAACCTGCTGAAGCATAAATTGTGAAGTGGCAAACATTTAGATAATGCAGAAACTAGGTTGGCCATAAATTCCCTATGCACACATCATCTTTGTTACAGATTTCTGATTGCATGAGGCCATAAATGTCTGTTATGTTCAGTTGAATAACTTTATCATACAGGTTTTCTTTTACATTCTCACAGAGTATCTGCCTGATGTCTGATCTTGACAGCAGACAGTGAAAGGAGGCAACATTTCTTCTAGACTGTACAATTTACAAAATTGTAATAAAACATGATGAAAAGAGTAAACGATGTACTTTGATTTTGTTTATATCAGCGACAAAATTTCCTGTGTTTATTCAGAATAATGAATGCATTAACTACGTGACAAAGCACATTTATGACAATGTTTTTTAAAGCACAAGATCAGTCTATCTATGGTAGCTGAATTGCTCAAGTTTATGTTGCCACTTTCCTGTGAGGCAGACAAAGATTCTAAGCATAGGAGAAAAGTAAATAGAAATTAGTTCTGCATAACAGACCAAGATGAAAAATGTCAATTCCTTTCTAGAAGATGACTTCACTTATGTTTCATAAGCCTGAGCAATCTGGATAGAGGTGAAATAAAGAACAGCTTACAGTGGACAATTCCATGTTGAATTTGACAGTCAACATGGAATTGTCCACTGTAAGCTGCTCTTTATTTCACTCCTACGACATCAGCAAAACAAGAACACTGATGCAGAAACAAACATCACTCATCTCCCAGCAGTCATGTGACTCAGAGCTGTGACTCCAAACGAAAGACTGCAGAGCTCAGAGTTTTAAACAATCCAGGAAGTCACAGAGGGGTCTGCTATCATCTTAGGCATAAGTTCTTACAGCAAACATATCAAACTCTGCCATACAGTAATGAAACTCCAGCACCAGCTCACTACTCTATAGAATCACACAATATGTCAGGTATTCAATAAAGTAGCAGAATATTCTGGTTTTACCTGTATACCATTCCACCAACTTTCTACTAACTCTTCATATTTGTTTTTGATATTTTTACTCTTTTCTGGCCAAATGGACCCAGAAGTTTCTCCTTACCTGTGAGAGCACAGCAGGCAACAAGGATCAACACAGCAACTCTCTGCATGGTGACAGGTCTTGACTGACGGCCTTGTTAACTGTTCTTCACACCAGCCTGATATGCAAGAAGAGGGAGGCACCTCTTTCCATAAATACACGGCTGAGTCAAGGCAGTGCAACAGCAGAGGAAGCACAAACAGCATCCTTCAAAATAAAAGCAACACCCGTTAAAGTGAGCTGTTTTAAGTTTAATAGCTTTGTTGCCTATTGCAATAAAACTTCTCAAAATTAAGGATGGAAGTGCAGACTAGGTAGAGTTAAAATATCCATTGGTTACCTTTTAGTACATTTTGATTTATTACTTTTGCCAGTTTCAAGTTACGGCAGTGACTTTTGTAGGCTTTTCAGTCACACACTCACACTCTCTTCCAAATATTGTTCTTAACTTTACTTACTAAGCGTTTTGCTGTAAGTTATTGTTTGCTGTTTGTCACTGTACCTTGATTACGGTGCAAATGATGGAAACTCAAATCAAATTCTTTGTTTGTATTTGCAATGCAGTTGATTCTCATTCTGATTTACAAAGGGGTACCAACAATTTTGTCCACATGTGTAAAAACTCATCAATTTGATACTTATTTTAAAACAATACACTTAGGTAGACTTAGACTTAGACTTAGAC